CATTGAATTTTCCTTTCAATAATTTTATATCTAAAAGGCTTTTTTATTTTCTACAATATTGGTTTTCCTTGTATCATGACATGCTCTGATTTATAGTTTAGATATTTAAATATGTATGTAGCTTCTTTTAGTTTGCACATTTTCTTTTCTATGTCTCTGTAGAGTTTCCCTCATCTAGGTTTTAGTTAGTGACTTGCAATTTTTTCTTGTGATATTGTCATGCATAAGAACTGGTTTTATGGAAATTCATTTTCCTTGAATTTATATATAAGGTTTAAAGACTTCACATTCTTAGACCCTAAGATTTTTGCTAGTTATATAGCAAGCTTTGTATCAACTTTTCAGCTTTGGTTTTTGTGCTATCTGCAAATGTATCCTCAGTACCCATGTAAATTGCAGAGCCAAACTTTGAATTTTGTGAAAATTTTGCTGAATTTCACAGCTAGAAGGCAAAGTCGGCATAGGGCTCTCATCGATTAGTGGCAGAATTTTCTTTCCATTTCATATGTGACATAATCCCCCATAGTTCTAAGCTTTAGGGAAGGCAGCTAAGTTCCCATTCCTTTCTTTGCATCGTCTTGAGTCTTATCTCTTGTTCCTACACTTAGGACATGCTCTAGTACTAAATATTTTTTATCCTTGTTTGATGGCACTGAAAACTGCTTTGGTTTCACGAGTGACTGTCATTTAAAATTCTCTCTTTATATATGGACAATCAAGCTCTTTATATCTGGAGATTCTAGCTGCATTTTGTTAACAAGAAAAATGTTCAATCTTTCTATGCATGAGAAGCAGAAGAGAAATTGTTCTTTCATTTTGTCTTGGATAGCCATGTTGATCTGATATTTTTTCTGAGAAGTTCCTCAGTCTCTTACATAAATGTGCCCCTTTTCCTTCACCTACTGTCTTGTTTTCCCAGGTAAACATGAATATAGATCTTCTGTGTAGCTATAAATAGTCTCCTGATATCCTGATAACTCAAAATATATATTCTAGTGGTACTATTTATACCAAGCTTACTATTTATTTTTCTCATGTTAAATTATGAAATTATATATATGCCAATAATTTACATACTACATATACACCTTGATTATTATTACTTTCAACTTTGAGGATAAGAAAGAGAATATATAAATACCATTTTATTCATTTGCCCTGTGTTTATAATTAATCACTGAATAAAACAGAAACAGAACTTTTCTAGTGTTATTTTCATCATGCTGATGAAGAATAGAACATTTTTCTTGGCCTGAGGAAGTGACATGGGAAGAGGCATAAGCCATCCATGTAGAGGGTCTTTGGAGCTACTTCCTTCATATGATTGGATCTTGAACTATAATCTATTTTGCAGACTCACCTATACTTTCACTGTCACTGGCAATTTTTATGCTCATAAGCATTAATGAACTTTAAATTGGCTCTGGTATTTTCACAGCTGAGAGAATGGAGTACCTTTGGATCCCTGGAAGAGACACCTGCAATTGAATTAGAAACAAGGCCACTCTCAGTGGTGGCAGAAGATGATTGTGAAATTCTTAAAATCCCTGCAAAAGATTATGCAAAGTTAAAATTGGTATGATGTCCACATGCTTTTTAAAATTTGACTTTATCTGGAGAACATAAAAATGTGCCTTATTTGGTGAATATCTCTTAAATAGTCTCTGCTCTTGCAAGGTAGAGATGAAAGCAAAGTTCTATATGAATTTACATTACATATGTTTCTGAGTGTCCTTTGGTTTTTCATGAATTTCAAACTCATTCATTCATTCATTCAAAAAATAGATATGTTGTCAACAGCATGTCATGTACTATGAATAGTAGAGGATGAGATAGATGGTAGTGCTACTGCTCTCCAAGTTTCTACAGTTTTAGTCTGACTTCAAAGTGATGACATGCTTTTTCACAGTATCAGCAGACATCCAAACTCAGACCTACATGAATAGTTGATCCCAATTCAATTCTCATGCCTAAATTTTACTGCTTTACAATAACTTACTTGTGTAAATTTAATTATTTATTGGTTTTCTAGTCAAGTTCAAACTTTTCCCTTTCTCTTCTGTGTATTCCTTTGGACATCAGAAGAAGTTGTTCTGAATGATGGCATTAGGAGGTCCCCAAGGTCCTGCTTTCCTTGCTGCTCTTATCAGGCTGTAAGCTTGGTGCTACTTATGTAGGGAACTGGCAGGCTGGGTGCTCATGTTGTCTAGAGATGGAGAAAGATCCATCTTCTTCATCTTCTTCAGTTAGGCCTCTAATGGTGGAGATTTCCTTTCAGTTGGTGGTATCATTACCAGTATTGCAGATGACTTTCTCAGAATTCAACATTATGTTGAATCCTTATAGCAATTTGTTTCAATTTTTGGAGGGTTGTCATTAAAAAACATTTTCTATTCATTTTATTTCCTAATATCAGCATCACTTATTATTATTGAATGAGTTTTGAGTTCAAATTCCTATGACATGGTCTTTTAAATGCTATAATTTATAGAAGTATGAAATATGATCTGAAGATTAAAATTTCAATCTGGCTATGTGAGCATACAATGAAGACTGAATACGATTCCAATATATTATATATTAATTTATATTTGCATCATTTTTCAATCTTTAATTTCTCTATTTGCTATTTTTTCATTTCTTTAAAATTACTTGCTATTGGAAATTTGATCATGACACTCTTTTTTAGGAAAAAGCAAAACTTGAAAATATACACAAGATGAAATTAATCCATAAGTGTCCCTATTATGAGGAGTGGCCTACTTTATCCATATGTGAGCTAACTGCACTTATTAAATGGAAAAAACTTCCTGCAGGTCATGGTGAGTAAATTGTAGATAATATTATATTATTGGAATTTATAATTCTTCACAGTTTTAATATTTGTAAATATTTGTAAATAATGTTTCCTTGAACATGCAATCTCTAGTGATTACCTTTGAATTTGGCACTTAGATTATTTCCTGTGTTTTATTAGTAATGACATTGTGCTGACTTGAGGTATAGTTTCAGGACTAGCCTGGCTTGCCTATCTCTCTATGTCCCTCAACATTCCTATTGCTTTGCATCACCCTGATATTTACACTGAGGGCTGAAGTGAAAAGGAGAAAATCAAGGGGTGGATATAGCCATCTTTTCCTGTCCTCCTTGTTGGACAACTACTTAAAAGCAGGTTTATTAATCTGCATCTACATTTATCAGTGGAAAAAAATAACAATTACAGGTCAAATATCCTCTTCTTCAACATTCTTGGAACAAGAAGTGTTTCAGATTCAGAGTTCCTTTTGGATTTTGGAATATTTCCACATAATATATATAACAAGATATCCTGGAGACAGAATTCAAGTCTAAAAAAAAATCATTCTATTTTATACTGTCAATAATTTTGTTCAATAGTTTTTAATGCACCTTGACTGAGTCCTGACATGAGATTAGGTGTGGGATTTTCTACTTGGGCATCATATTGGCACTTAAAATATTTTGAACTTTGGAGCCTTTTGGATTTCAGATTTCTGAATTAGAGATGTTCACTTGTACAGAAAATAAGTGAGGTCTAGCCAGGAGGAAATAGCAGTGAAGGGTCTATCTTTCTGTATTTAACATGCTAATGATATGTGGAGTCCCTGGGGTATGTATACACAGATGTGTAGGCAGAATTGAGTCATGCCGCAGAATTTTTCCACATGTAAGAAGGAACTAAATACAAATGCTAGCATTGAAAGAAGTGTAGTAAGGAGGATCAGCACTTTGTGTCTCCTTCAGTGGGGATTTTGCCTCACAAGATATGGCCACAAACAACAGAGAGAGGATTGTAACCTCGCCTTTCCCTCCTCCCAGTTGAGTAGAGGATATAGTACCTGGCTATACTGGAAGGGGAAAGATTTCAAAGAATAGTCTAACAGCCACAATTGTAGTTAGGGACATTTCCAACTTGAAGATTAAAGTTCAATAAAGGGATGGGTCTGAATTATAAATTCCAGAGGCTATTGCAGTAATAGTAAGATGTCATGAGATCTGGCTAAGATATGCTTGGAGGGGATTATTAATCAAGTTAGGGTCAGCTTAGCCCTGGAATACCTAGTTCCTTTGATAGAAAAAAGTAGGTATCAATAGATGAAAGTTTATGTTTCAAAGAATAAACCAGGTGAATTTATTGAGAACATATTTTCCCCATATCTCCAAATTTCTTTCTGTGCTTATATTTGTATTTTATCATTTTTGAAATATAGTATTTAACCCATGATTAGTCAAATATATGTATTTCTCTTTCTTATACAAATTGAATATTATTAATATTGTACTTTAATTCATGAAGTATTTTTCTGAATGAGGTAAAAATTCCAATATGAAAGACAAGTAGTAAACTGATTTATAAAAGTGGAAGTTAGCATTTTAAAATTCGCCGTATTTGTTGTATGCATAGAAAGAATTTTTAAATGTGTATTTTTTGGATTTATAGGTTTACTCTTTGTACAGAAATATTAAATATTATTTCTTGTTACTACCAGAACCATTATGTATAAAAAAGGTACCTCATCCTTGTCAATCTATCATTATATAAATATATTTGATGTGACTATAGAGGAAAAATGAGACACATCTAAAATTCTGTGGGCCAAAAGAATATGAAATTTGGAAAGTATGATTCTGTGCTTTTGATGTATTTGCTTACTACTAATAATCTTATATTATTATACCCTGAAACATGGGTATAAAACACTTAAATTTAGGATAAAAGATTGAAAGGTAGTAGACACAACACATTGTTCTTTAATTTTAGTTTAATAATTTTTGATAAATGACTTGAAAAAATGGAGGAATTTGTTAAACTATTAGATTGGAATATATATGATTGCATTGAATAAGTAAAAAATGTATTTTCACTGAATTCTAAAAATATAAATGTATGGTGTTTACATTTATATAGTTCTAGGAAACATTTATTCTTTTTAGAGAAGAATGACATTTCACCTGACGATCACTAAAGGGCCTTTCAGCACTGAATTACTGTGGTTCTTATAAATAAACATTTGTGGGTGAAGAATAAGTCCTGTCCAACTAATCCGATTTTCTTTTATGGTAGTGACAAACTTGATATATCAAAGAGGAGCATAAGTTTTAATGCTTATTGAATTTATATAAATTTATTTTGAATTATAAAAAATGTAGTTTTGAATTATTATGAAAAAATGTAGGAAAGGTAACTCAAATTATACTTTCATTATCTGGGTTTAAAATGAACAGTGTTATGATTTACAAAGCATAATGATGTGTGTTTTGATCTTATTTTAAGAATTTATGTTGGATAAATTTTCAGAGGGATTTAGTTAATTATTCAAAAGCTTAATTGAGTTTAGACTTAATCCTTGGCAATCTTTGAAAGAACTAATCTTGTTTATAGCTCTATTTTCTCTGTTAATTTCATAAATTTTCCTACTTTTGATTTATATCCCAAGGGAGCCTGACTCTCATGGATGTATACAATGTTGCAATTTCAGCCTGTCCAGTTTGTATCACATTCCTAATCTTCCGAGGTGTTTTTCTTACTGTGTGTGCCTGACTGGACCATAGCAGTTAGTGATTGTCTAATTAAGCTGTTCTCATATGTGTCATGTATATAAAAAAGAGTAAGTTTACCTGGCAAATATTTAACTACTTATGTCGCTTTCTTTTGTTATTTTGTATTGGTTGGTAGGCTCCATTTTTCTCTGGGAAGAATTTGATGTAACAAATGTGGTAATTAGAGAAACTGAAAAGAATCACAATTAGTTTAGTTCTAAAAGACAAAATATGTGAAAATAATAATGCTAATGATAGTAAAAAATCTATCTGGTCTTCCCAAACCAGAAGTGGAGTGTTTCAGTATAGAATATGCATTTTTAAGTTCTATCTAAAGTGAGTTTGAAGTTCTACAGTCTCAATTTCCAAGCTGTTTTTACATCACCCTTTTACAAATCATTTGAACTTTGCTGGTGATCAAAACTCTTAGTTTCAAAGGACACTCATGTACATCTTAAAATCAGATTTACACCTCAAAGTAACTGTTGTCCAAGTCCCCAGGATCATGGCTCCATTTTGTTCCTCATTCTTCCTTTACTGGCCTCTTGCTTAGTTTGTATTTTTTAATGTAGCATATTAATTTGCTTAATGATTTTAACTAATTATTTTCTTAATGATTGCTCTAGAGCTTTCCATATAATTCTGAAGTTTTCTGAATCTAGTTGAGTTTTTGTACTAACCCTCAGAGAGATATAAAACAGTTACTCTTATATTATTCTATTTCCTTTTCTTCTCTCTATGCTGTTACTTCTATACATGCTGTATCTACATATGTTATAAGCCTAAAAATAAATATATGAATTTTTATATCATGTTATGTCTTTTAAATAAACTGAAAAGACACCAAATATACATATATAATATAATATATATATAGTGTTTGCTTTATATTTATTTACTGTTTCTAGTTCTCTTTATTTATTTCTGTAGAGTTGTCATGTGGTATCTTTTCCTTAAACCAGTTTAAATTTTCTCACACTAACTTCTTTGAGGCTTTGGCTTATATATTATGTGATCATATGTTACATAAGCAATGATATTACATACATTAAAAAACACTCTTTAAATTGGAAAAAAGGATAGGAAATATGCATTTATCTTTGCTTTTATAATTACATATTTTTCTTTAGAGGTGGTTTTTCATTTTTCATGAAGACTCAAAGTACTTTACTATCCAGGGTTGCTCACTATCAGCCTAAGGAATATTCTTCAGTAATTCTTGTATACAGTGTGTTAGCAACACATATTCTCAGGCTTTGTTTAAATGTGATTTTCTTTATTTCTCCGGTTTTTGTAAAAGATAGTTTTGCTAGGAATAGGATTTGTAGTTGCTAGCATTTTTCTTTTTTATTTGCATGATTTTTTATTAATTTTATTGGTACATTTTAGGTATACAATATAATGACATTCATCATTGGAAATTTGCACCTTTACATAATCTCTCTTGGTTCTTAT